TGAGCGATCTCTCCAGCCCTCATTTTCATTTTCTTTTTTCTCCCAAACACTTCCCTGGATTTTTCTTCTGGCAGGGCCTCAGGTGTCCCAGGCCGGCTGTGAACTCCCAATTTTCCTGCTTCCACCTCCCAGGGCCTGGATGACAGCTGTGTGCCACCACATCCACTTGGCCCTCCACCCACAGAGGAAGGATAAACACAATGAAGGGACACAATGCGCCCTTTGGCTTTGGAACAGGAAGTTCTGGCAGCGCTTCAGCAAGGAGCCCTAAAGCTTAAACGGAATAGGGCAGTCACAGAGAGACAGGTAGGTCCTGGGCTGGGCGCAGCTCAGCAAGAACTCCCTTCCCTGGCAGTTGTCAGTCTCATACCCAGCCCTGCAAAAAAGATAAACACTGTGTGAGTATGCTCACGGGGAGCGGTGGCCGCGGGGACTGAGATTTAGTGGCGCGCTCGCAGAGTTGAGAGGAAGGCTTGGAGACTGGCTGCACCACCTTGAGAAGGATGCATTCAACTGTTTTCTCTCCTTTCGTCTTTCTGAGGCAGGGTCTGTGTAGCCCTGGCTGTCCCGGAACGCTGTGGACCAGGCTGGCCCTGCCTCCGCAGCGCTGGGATTAGAGGCTACCGTCGCCCTGGTGAAAGGACGGACTTATGATGCTAAGATGGGACCCTGGGGAGACGGCTGAGTCAGCAGAGCAGAGCGCTTGCTGTGCCGGCGTGAGGACCTGAGCTGAGGCATCGTGGCAGGACGTGCGGTCACACACCTCTGATCCCAGCATGTGGGGCTGGTGGGCCCTGTGATTTTGAGGCTAGCCTGGTGTGTGTAGGGAGCTCCAGGCCAGCCAGGGATACATAGCAATACCCTGTCTTAGGAAAAGAAAGGATTATGGGCTGGTGGGCTGTGTCAGCAGGTAAGGGCACTTGCCGCCAAGCCTGAGAACCTAAATTTGATCCCTGGATCGCACATGGCAGAAGGTGGGAATCAACTCTGCAAACTGTCTGTTCTCCCTTGTGTGCGTGTTCGTGCACACACACATGCACCGGGCACACACACATGCACCGGACACACACGCTCACGTGACTGAACATTCTAATGGGCACATACCCATTTCACAGTCACGGCGCCCTCAAAGCCAAGCTGCTGGTGGGCATCTGGGTGCAGGGTGCTAGACTACGGAGTACCTCCTGGCCTCCATTTCAAGAAACGAGAGTGACCAAGCCATTCACCGAGCGTCCACCATGGGCCAGGCTGGGGCAGGGCGCCACATGCTGAGTACGGCGGGCAGTGCAGCAAGGCAGGCCTGTGTGCCTGATCTCTCAGGGGTGTCTGGGAGTCGTTTTACTAACTTATGGCCAGGCCAGCACTATCTTTAGAAAAGACGTCACTGGTGTTTCAGGGGGCAACACTATATGTATGGCTTTAAGGTTTGTTTGTTTATTATCTCACTATAGAGTCCAGGCTGGCCTTCAGTTTATAACAGATCCGCCTGCCTCTGCCTCCCGGGTACCTGGATTAAAGGTATGTGCCACTGTGCCTGTCTTGGGGCTAAGAATTTTTTTTTCTTTCCATTTTTTGAGACCTGGTTTCTCTGTGTAGCCTTGGCTGTTCTGGACTCACGTTGTAGACCAGGCTGGCCTTGAACTCACAGAGACTTGCCTGCCTCTGCCTCCCAGAGTGCTGAGATTACAGGTGTGAGCCACCATGACCAGCTTTTTTTTTTTTTTTAAAGATTTTATTTATACATTTATTATTCATACAGTGCTCTGTCTGCATGTACACTTGCAAGCCAGAAGAGGGCACCAGATCTCATTACAGATGGCTGTGAGCCACCATGTGGTTGCTGGGAATTGAGCTCAGGACCTTTGGAAGAACAGCCAGTGCTCTTAACTTTTGAGCCATCTCTCCAGCCCTTTTAAAAAATTTCTTAAGTTTTTGAAACAGGGTTTCTCTGTCCTGAAACTTGCTGTAGACCAGGCTGGCTTCAAACTCAGAGATCCACCTGCCTCTGCCTCCTGAGTGCTGGGATTAAGGTCTCACCATCGCCCGCCGGGGTTGAGATTTTAAGTTTATTTGTATGGGTATGTATGTGCCTGTGTGAGTTCATGTGCTCCCCCGTGGGGAGGTGTGGGCTCCAGAGGAGACAACGTGCCATCTGGAACCGGACGACCAGGGCTCCCGGCGAGAGCAGTGGATGCTCCCAGCTGCTGCACCATCTTGCCAGCCCTGCTTGTTTTTACTAGTGTGTATGTATTATGTGTTTTTGTGGTTTGGTTTTGGTTTCTCCGCGTAGCCTTGGCTGTCCTAGACTCACTTTGTAGACCAGGCTGTCCTCAAACTCAGAGATCTGCCTGCCTCTGCGTCCCGAGTGCTGGGATCACAGGTGTGCGCCCCTGCGCCTGGCCGGCATATGTTTGAAATAATTTGTTGTTTATTTTGGTGTGGAGACAGGCGAGTTGACCAGCTGGGCCCGTCTTGCCAGCCTGGGTTTAGCCTTTTAGATTGGAAAAAAGCAACCAAGATTCATCAGCGTGGAAACCTGGTTGTGAGTAGCAGACGCAGCTCAAAGCCGTCTGGGACTCAGGGTTGGATTCCCCATCCCATCCCTCAAAGCTGCTAATTAACTATTTGGTCTTCTGTCTTTCTTGGCCAGGAGCTTTACAGAGATTAACTTGAAGCTGAGTCACAGTGTGTCTTGAAGCAAGAGTTATTTTCTGGAAACAGGTCACCCTACTGCAGACTTAGGCCAAAAATACTGAATTACCACACGAGGCCTAGAGGAGCATCTGTACCCTGAGAGCTGGGAGGAAGAAAGCAAAGGCCCCCAACCTTCCGAAGCCACTTTGGCACCACCATCCAGATGTCCAGCTGGGCCGGGCGAAGGAAGACTGGGTGGAAACTGGTTCAGATTTCACCAGTTTTGATGTCAGTGTTAGTGACAGTCTCTAAGGGCGCAGGGTTCTAAGCGCCGTGCTGAGGGGGCCTTCAGGTCGTCCCTAAGGCCAAGCGTGGGCACAGCTCACCAGCACGTTCTGCTTCTCAAGCACAGCCCGATGGGCGACTACGTTCCAGCAGGGCCCTGGCTCAGCCCAAGTTCCAAGTGAGTAGTGTTCCTGTAGAAAGCTGTGGGAGTGGCCTGGAGCGCAGCGTCAGTCCCAGCGCTGGGGAGTTCAAGGCCAGCGCCCTGTGGTCACAACCTGTAATATCAGCGCGAGGGTGGGTGGAGGCACGATTGTTGGGGCTTGGGTCTGTCTCAGTGAACACCCGTCTCAAAGCGGAGAGCAGCACAACATCCAGTCATCTGGCCTCCCTGCGTGTACACACGCACACGTGACCGAGGGTGCCTGGGGCCTACGGGCCCTTGCAGACAGGCAGTGGCATTTCATTCACCGCCTGAGGCCTGCAGAGCCCGCGCAGCTGGGAATGTGGAGACTTTCCAGATGAAACATGTTTAGCACAGGGTACCGCCTGAGACAGTCACTTCTGTCGGACTTTCTTTCGCTTTTCAAGACAGGGTTTCTCTGTGTAGCCCTGACTGTCCTGGACTCACTCTGTAGACCAGGCTGGCCTCGGAACTCACAGAGATCCAACTGCCTCTGCCTCCTGAGGGCTGGGATCTGAAGGCGTGCACCGCCATGCCTGGTTTCATGTAATTTATTAGTGGGAACAGTTAGGCATTATTTTCTAGGCCAGTTAAAAAGCAGGATTATCCACTGGTAAGAGAGAAATACATTAGTTTTTCAGTTCTGTTTTTTACCGTAACAAAAGCGCATCACTGCAGCGCCTTGGTCAGGCGGTGAGAACAGTGTGAAAGCTTGCTGCCTCTCCCAGCTTCCAAATCTCACAAAAAGAAAATCATTTTTGTATGAGTGCTCTGTCTGCACGCTCACCTGTACGCCAGAAAAGGCACTGGATCCCACTATAGACGGTCGTGAGCCACTGGACGGTTTCTGGGAACTGAACTCAGGACCTCTGGAAGGGCAGCCAGTGCTTTTACGGCTGAGCGGTCTCTGCAACCCTCCAAATCTCATTTCTTTAGTTGGGCTCCATCAGAGCTTTCCAGCCCAAATAGCTTTTCTGCATCCAAGGGCAAACCAGCCCAGCAGCGGTTTAACCAATAGTGGTCCCCATAGGCTTGTATGTTTGGATACTTGGTCCCCAGCTGGTGGACTGTGTGGGAAGGATTAGGAGGCGTGGCCTTGTTAAGGAAGGTGAGCCACTATGGGTGGCTCTGGGGTTTGAAGGACTCATGCTACCCCAGTTAGTGCTCTCTGCCTGTAACTTGAGGATCGAGAAGTATGTTCTGAGCTGTTCCTGCCACCATGGGCTCTTAACTCTCTGAAGCTGCAAGCCCCTAATAATCTCTCCTTATATGACTGCCTCTGGTCATGGTGTTTTCTCACTGCAATAGAACAGGGACTAAGACAAGGAAGGCCCAGGCTATTTAGCTTCTGAGATTAGTGGAGGTCCATTGGGTTTAGGGCATGATAGCTTAAGACCAAAACATTTTTTTCTTTTTCGAGTATTTCATCATGGGCTGGGGAGACGGCTCGGTGGTTAAGAGCATGGCTGCTCTGGCAGAGGACCTGGGTTCAGTTCCCAGCACCCACATGGGGGCTCACAACCGTCTGTTACTCCAGTTCCAGGAATCCGGTACCCTCGTCATTCCTGGGCACTACACTGACGTGCTGCATGTACACACATGCAGGTAAACAGCCACACACAGAAAACAAAATCATAAAAAAGAAACCTTTTGGGCAAAACCGAGAATAATGAAGGAGTGGGAGAGATGGCCCAGAAGGTAAGAGCACTGCCTGCTCTGCAGAGGACTCCGTTCAGTTCCCCACACCCACAGGCTCACAGCTGCCTGTAACTTCAATTCCAGGGGATCCAAAGTCCTCTACTGGTCTCCCAGGGCACCCAGACAAACACACTCAAGCGCACACAGATAAAAGTAAAACCAAACAATCAAACAAGCAAAAAACTAACCAAGAACAATGGAAAACCACTTTAAAAAATTTATTTAAGGAACACAAAATGCATCTAAATGATTTGTTTTGTTTTGAGACAGTGTCTCGCTATGTAGACCAGGCTGGCCTCGAACTAATAGAGATCCGCCTGCCTCTGCCTCCTGAGTGCTGGGATCACAGGCGTGCGCCACTACTCCCAGCTTCTAAATGATTTTTTAAAAACCAAAATTTCAATTTATTATCTGCTCACCCATCACTCTACCCGGTCCTAAGGTAACTTAAGCACATCTTCCGATTTCCATATAAATTATTTGGAATTACTGCATTAGGAGAACACGTGAGAGCCAGTGGTCGGCCACCTGTACATTTCTGGCTTGGAACCTTGCACACCCCTCCTTTCTGCACCAGTCTCCTTGGCCCACAGTGCACACTTGGGACATAGCTGGTGAGGGTCACATAAGCTTTGTGAAAAAGAGGTTTCCTGTAAAAAGCTAACTGGCCTAACTTGTCAGGCTCCAATTCCAGCCACAACCTCACTGTTTCTGCATTCTGGTCAACAGAACTACAAATACTAGTGAATCACATAAGCAAAGTCGCCTCCTGCTATCTGTACTTCCTAGGTGAGACTAGGGCTCTAAAAATTCACGGAAAGAGACAGAAGTGTAAAATGTGGAATTAGAGGGGTTTCAGCCACTAGTAAGAGAAATTTGTCTCAATTTAATTCCATCTGTTGTTTGTAGAATAAAATCGGGACAGCAGGAAACAATATGACTTGTAGGTTTTCAGTTCTAACTTAACAATGAGACTGTTTTATTAAAACCACCATAAAAGTAAACAACCATCTAAATGCAACTGCCAGTGTTCTGGAGGCCTGGGAAGTGAGGCTTCCAGGCTGAGGTGAGTGGCTCCTTGGGATGCTGGGAATTTCTTAGGCTGTGGAGAAGCAAGCCTCGCTCAATCCTGCCCATACGCTACCTGTGGGACTAAAATTCAATTCCACAACCCTCTAGAACTTGCCTTGATTCACTGCCCAAGCACCGGCGATTTTGGCTTGGCATACCCACACAGGAAGCCAGCAACCCTTACAGCTCACACCAGCAGAGACGCTGTGGTCTGGGGGCGAAGTGTCTGCCTGTCAAACTACAGCTGCCCTCACTCGAAGAGCAACTACCTGTTTTAAACCTCGGAGTTTGCCTTTCAAAGCCCAAGTTAAAAAGTAAAAAATGAAAACCATTTTTGCATGACGGGAGTGTGATATCCCTTCCATAAAGCAGTATATACGCTACGAGCAAGTAATACAGAGAAGAAAGAGTAACCACACGAGTCCTGGTTGGATACCGAGGTCAGTTCACCCAGGTCGAGGGCAAGAGCCAGCCTAGGTTCTTCTGCAAGGCAGCGACGGGAACCCAGGGCCGAGCAGCTGCGGCGAGCGTGAAGCGCTGAGTGCGAATGTCTTGAAAGGGGTGGCCAGCAGGGAAAATGAGCCCTCTTCAGACTGCTCTCCACACCTCACGAGTTCATTCAGCACAGAGAAAGCTAACCTGGAGACTCCCACCTGCTCACCACTGGAGGGCTCTGGAGGAACAACAGCCTCCTGGGACAGCTGCGCATGACAGAAAGCCACACCCCCAAGAGTCGGAGACGAGGGAGGCAGGAGGTGGACCTGGGGGGCCCCCACCCCCGCTGTGGGCTTGCCATAACACTCAGCACTTGTGTTCTTAGTTCCAAACAAAATCTCACCACCCATCCTCCCAATAGGAAAGCAGAGATCCACTGAGCTTGTTTTATCAAGGGTTTCTGCAGTGGGGCTGAACTGCGGATGCGGATCCCACAGCAGCCGGCCTTAGGATCACCTCAAGGGACACAGTGCTGGACACTGAAAGGGTTGACAAGCTGAAATGAGCTGGACTCAAGCTGCTGGCTTGGCCTCTCTCGGTTCTGTCTCCCTGGCGTGTACCCCCTCCCCAAACCCCGGGCAGCAGCAGGTGGCTATATGGGAAGCTACTGGTTTCGCCATTTGCTTCCAGAATCACAGAGACTGTAACAAACCTTACACTAAACACTGTTCAGTCCTGAGTTTGGGGCGAGCCCCGTGAGGAGGGCCGAGTTCATTAGGACTCTCTTCCCTCCTTGGCGTGGCGTCATACGTGGCCTTCAGCCTTCCCTTCTTCCATGGCCTGGCTCTCGGCTCGTTTACCGGCTGCTCCCTCTGTGGTCTTGCTCACCGCTTTGCTGGCTGCTTCCTGAGGGAGAGGAGGAGGAGATAAGATTAACCCGTGCCTTCCAGAGATAGCTGGATCAGATCTACAACAGATGTTCGTGCCTGTGTCTGGGATGCACTCTTGGGCGTGGAGGGGTGGTCGCATGCTCGCTTTCTGAGGCAGCTGCTGAGTAATTACGTCCTGTGGCAGCGGAAGCTGAAGACTCAGGGCAGCCTTGGGACCAGAGGTGACTGCGGGACAAGAAGCGCCCACCTGTGTTCAGACAAAGCTGCTGCCAACTCGGCACTGACAGCAGAGTTCACGGGGCACTTCGGCAACACACCTGTCTCCCAGGCAAACTGACTCAATTAGAAAGTGCCACTTGGGAAACATATTGCGGGGCTTAGAAGTAATTTATTTTTTGTTAGTTTTTTGAGACAGGGTTTCTCTGTGTAGCCCTGGCTGTCCTGGAACTGAATCTGTAGACCAGAATGGCTTCAAATTCAAAGATCCACCTGCCTCTGCCTCCCAAGTGCTGGGACGAAAGGTGTGCCACCACCACCCAGCTGAATTTGTTTTTGAAAAATAACAACTTAACTTGGTTTGGTGGCAGATGCCTTAACCCTAGAACTCATGAGGCAGAGGCCGGAGGATCACTGAGATGTCCCTAGACAGGTCCAGAGGGCGATGCCCTGTCCTAAAAAACAAACCACTAAAATTCAAGAGCTTTGCCTATTTCAAGGAGTCAGCCGCCAGCTCTTTCCCGGGCCTGCCAGGGCCTTCCCACATGCGCCTGGCCACACTGCAGTCTCTTCCCCGGCTGGCAAACTGATCTTGTCCCCAGTGCCTGGTGTTCTTACAACTCAGGCCGGGGCCCTGCACGCACCCTGGCGTCCTGCTCGGCGAACTTCTTGAACATGTTGGCGTACACCCTGCGGTCCCGCTCGTTGTACTCCTTCGCCTTCTTCTGGCACATGGAGATCTGCAGCCTGGCCGCCCTGTTCTGGGGGTTCACCTCCAGCACTCTCTCAAAGTCACCTCTGGCCGACTCGAACTCATTCATGAGCAGCTGGGCTTCCCCCCTTCGGTACAGGCCCTTCTCGTTGGCGCTGTCCAGTCCAAGGGCCTGAGAACAGACGGTCCAGTTTAGAACAGTCCAAGTCAGTCAGCCAAGCTCACTTGTTTTGTTTAAACAACAAAAAAGATTTCTTATCTATTATTTACATAGTTAGGCCTGCATGCACCAGACCTCACTATAGAGAGTTGGGAGTCACCATGTGGTTGCTGGGAATTGAACTCAGGACCTCTGGAAGAGCAGCCAGTGCTCTTAACTGCTAAGCTATCTCTCCACCCCTCAAGCTCACTTGTATTCAGGCGGTGAAGCCTTGACCCCTTGATGCCACTGAGAGGCTGGCTGTCTCCTGAGGGCACTTCACCTGTGACTCCTCACTGACCTGGGGTCACACGGCAGACATCAAGATGTTTACATCATGATTCTCATAACGGTGCCAAACTACAGTTAGGAAGGAGCAACCTAAAGGATTTTACGGTTGGGGGTCACCACAGCATGGGGAACTTTACTAAGGGTTCTCTCTCTCTCTCTCTCTCTCTCTCTCTCTCTCTCTCTCCTCAGCAGTAGGAAGGCTGAGAACCACTGGGCAGACTCAGACTCAGAGAGACCCTGTCCCTGCCTTCAGAGTGATGGGATTAAAAGTGTGCGCCACCATGCCCAGTCCTAGGTGTGCTTCTGAAAAGCACGTTTCGAATCTGGGTCTCTATGAAGCAAGTACATTTCCTCTACTATGCTCCCCTATCAGCAGTGCCAGCCAAGCAGGAACGGAACCCCTGAGCCAGCTGCAGGCCCAGCTCTCCGCACCTGGTCTGTAGGTGTGTATTCAGGCTATGTGGGCCAGGTGTCGATCTCTCATGTCATGCCTTGGGAGCTGTCCACTTTGTTCTCGGAGACAGTCTCTTACTAGCCTGGGATCTGCTGACTGGCCTTGGCTGGCCACTGAGCACACGAGGGCAGCCAGTCTGCCTCAGCCAACACTGAGACTACAGCCATGGCAGCCTGGAATTGGTTTCTGTGTGTGTGTGGGGGGGTATTTTGCCAGCATCTATGTCTGCACTGCCTGGCCACCTACGGAAGCCAGAAAGGCAGTCAGAGCCCATGGAAATGGAGTTACAGCTGTGAGGCACATGTGACTGCTGCAATTGGACCAGTGCCCTCAACCCCTGAGCCATCATGCTCAGCTCGTGCACCGCCTTCCTGTGGGTGCCAGGACAAACCTCAGGTCCGTACGCTTGCACGACAGGCACCTTATTTACCTGCTGAGCCGTCTCCTCAGCCGCTACCATTTTAAATGTTCCTATCTCTAGCTCTTCAGCTTCCAGTAATTTATCCTGTGGCAACACCCAAAAGCAGGGGAAGAGAAATACGAAATGGCTTTCTCTCATGACTCTCACAATCACTATGAACCTTACAATAAAAACAAACCCTGAGACTCCTCCAGGGCGGGTGGGCTAGGTAAACCATGATGATCCACAGGGTGGATGTTGGAAGGGTGAGTCTACCCACACTCGAGGAGAGCTGGGGAATGCACAGGCCTGACAGTCCTGCTTCCACACAACTGCCCCAATCTCCACTTTTTAAAAGGCATTTTGTATTTTTGGTGAGTGTATTTGAGTGTGTGTGCCCGTATGCACCTGTAACCCCCAACACACCACAGAAGTCAGTGTCTTCCTCTACTTCTCTCTGCCTTATTTCTTTTGAAATTTTCATGTTTTCAGGACGTCTGACAGGCAGTGAGCCCTAGTGAGCTTCCTGTCCTGATGTACGAAGCCCTGGCCTGTGTGGGTGCTGAGGCTCGAACTCCGGTCCCCACACTTGTACGGCAAGTGCTCTAAAGCCTCTGCGCCATCTTTCCAGCCCCGAGTCTATGTGTGTTAATTAAAAAACCCCAGCAAAGGCTGTGGTTGTAGCTTGGCTTGCCCAGCATACACACAGTCCTGAATCTTATCCCTGGCTTGAAAAACCAATCTGGAGTCATGGTGTACACCTGTAATCTCAACGCTCAGGAGGTGGAGGCAGGAGGGTCAGCAGTGGCTCCACAGCAGGTTCGAGGACAGACTGGGATATGAGGCCTTGTCTGAGAAAAGCGAGAATAAACACTTACTCCACACTTGGAGTAAGCAGAAGGAGCATGTACGGAGCAAGGACGTGGGAGAGGAAGTGGGGTGGCTTAGTGCGTAGGGGCACTTGCTGATAAGCTCGGCAAACTGGACCTGAGCCTCACAACCCACGTGGCGGAAGGAGAACTACTCCTGAGGGCCGGCCCTGCACACCACACCCACCAACAAGCACGCGGAGAACGGGGAGGGGAGCTGAAGCCATTCCCTGGCTCAGAGCGCAGCAACCGCAGAAGACCTTTCTTCAGCTCCCAGCGTCCACACGGCCTGCTTCGCAGCCGCCCATAACTCAAGCTCCAGGGACAGACGTCCTCTCTGTACCTGGGTCCACCTGCACCCACACGCACATCCCCACACACAGAAAACACACACGCACAAGTATTTTAAAAATGAAGTAAATTTTTAACAACTTTATAATTAAAAAGTTCAAAACTGAACTGCCAAGTATGTCTTATTAAAACAGTGTATCCTTACATTACTGAGCTATTTCGTCTCTGAGTATGGAAGAGGTCGGATGATAAAGACAAAAGCGTCCTTTTTTTTTTAAGATTTATAGTGTTCTGCCTGCATGTGCAGCTGCACCCCGGAAGAGGGGAAGAGGGCACCAGATCTCAATAGAGATGACTGTGAGCCACCGTGTGGTTGCTGGGAATTGGAAGAGCAGCCAGTGCTCTCAACCACTGAGCCGTCTCTCTAGCTCTGACAAAACTGTTCTTTATTCCACCACATAGCTCCCAGGAATCAAACTCCTGTCAGCAATCTTGGTAGCAAGCGCTTTTACCAGCCAAATGCTTTTATTTATTTATTTTTTCTCTGAGGCAGGGTGTCTCTGTGAAATAGCTCTGGCTGTCCGGGAACCAGGCTGGCCTTGAACTCACAAAGATCCTCCTGCCTCTGCCTCCTGGGACCCTGTGCCCTTGTTTTTGAGACATGAACTCACACAGTCCAGGCCAGCCTTGACTACTCAGTCCTTCTGTCTCTGCCTCCCAAATGCTGGGACACAGGCATGTGCTGGTGTGAGCAGGAATGGCCACCATGGGCTCATATCACCAGGGAAGGCAACTGTTTGAAAGGACTCGAAGGACTGATAGGTCTGTTGGGGAAGGCTCTGTGGCTCAGCCGGAGAGTTGCTGAGCATGCGCAAGGCCATGGACTCAACCCCAGCACGGCAAACAAAACAATGAAGTGTAAAGCTCACAGAAAAACCCTGTTTCTAAACCGACTCCCCCCCAAAAAAAAAACAAAAAAAAAAAACAAAAAAAAAAAACAAAAAAAAAAAAAAAAGAGAAAGCCTATCCCTTCTCGTGTCCCCATTCCTGAGGAAGGGAGGGCAGGAGGGCCACAGGGACGGAGGCGAGGTGCACAGAGCGCCTACCTTATCGCAGCACTCCACAGCTTTGCTGTACTCTCTCAGCTTCAGGTAGCACATGGCCAGGTTGAGGAAAGCGGCGAGCAGGAAGGACTCCGAGGCCTTGGACTCCTTCTCCGACAGGCCGTACTCCATCTCCAGCCAGGACACGATCTTCCCGTACTGGATGGCGGCCTGCATGTACTTGCCTCCCTAGGGGAAGAAGGCTGTGAGGGCTCTGCACTGTGCTCTGGAAAGGATACGATGGAGGCGTGCAGGCACAGCCTGCCTCAGCAGGGTCCTCACAAGGAACAGGGCTGCCGCCAGCCCTCCTCTGCGCCCTCAGGTCTCCGGCCCGAGGGAGCCCCGCTGGCCTGAGAGGTGGCCATACCAGGCCAACACTACCGCATGCTGTTTTCCGGCATTCCTTCGGCCTGGCAGCAGGCGAGCACACCGTTTGGAACTGACAGTTAGCAGTCTTTCAAAAGGATGGCGAACCGCTCGGCCTATGAAGGGGAGGCGACGTTTCTCCTTTCCCCCGGCGCTCAGCACGGCACACTAAATACTGCGATATGGCAACTGGAGCCCCCACACAGGCCGCCTAAAGCAGACTGTGCAAGTCCTCAGCCCTCATTAGTGGCGTGAAAGCAGCACAGGCACAGGCAGAGCCGCACCAGCGTGGCTGTATCCTGGCACCATTAAGGAGTAGGTGGGGTCAGAGTACGGCATGCCGACCCAGGGGCAGTGGCAGCAGACGGTATAAACAACCTTGAACAGCAAACTCAGCATTGAGAAATCTACTCTAGTCCTGTTTGTTCTACGGCACCTCCTCTGCAGCGCTGTGGACAAAAGCCAAGGCCTCATGCACACTAACGAAGCACTGTACCAATTCTAGCTCCAGGCCTTGGTTTTCATTCCACACAGACAGGGCCTTGCCAATCGCCGAGGCCAGCCGCAAACCTCTGGCCTTCCTGCCTCAGAGAGGGCTCCAGAACAGCAGTTCTCAACCGTTCTAATGCTGCAACCCTCACGTTGTGGTGACCTCCAACAGTAAAATCATTTCATTGCTACTTCATAACTGGAATTTTGCTACGGTTACGAATCGTAAGGTAAATATCTGGTATCGAGCCCTGTGGAAGATCCTTTGACCCCAAGGAGCGAGAGCTGTGGTTTCGCAGTAACCAGAATCACAGACATGGCCTCGCTGCCTAATGAGCTCTGGCAGCCGGAAAGGAGTCTGCACTCGGGTGGAGAGGGCGTGCTTGCTGCTGTAGGAGCGTGACCCTGAGCGCGGTGGTAGCTGCACAAACACAGCTGGGAAGCAGGTGAGGGCTCTTCTCGGCAGCAGGCAGGTGCGAGTCCGAGGCCGGGCACCCCTGTCCATGGCAGGAGGGCAGTCATACCTTGCCGGACACTGAGCGATGTTTACCCACTGACCTCTGCGGAGACTGCCACTAGGCTGGGCTGACTCAGGAAGCTGCAGAGCTCCCATGACTACCGGTGGCCGCAGACCCTTCCTTCCCTGGGAGCACTAGGGGGCGCCAGCTGCCTGCAGGCAGCAGCGAGTCCTCGGCCCTCACAGGGCAGGATGCTAGTCCTTCCCTGCTTCTCCTCTCAAGGGTGTTCAGAGGCTGAAAGGAAGTTTCAACATCAGTCTAAATGGCAATTCAGCCCTCCTTTGCCCACGGCTGTAGGCCAAACTGGCAGGTGAATGAAAATGTGCAGATGGCACCTACAGATCTGTGGTCCAGCTCACCTCTGCAGTCACCCGCTCGCCGTGTGTGGAAGGTGAGGCTGGTACAGAACAGAAGGCAGCGGCCTCCGTCTTCACAAGGGAAGGGAACGTGTACAGGAAACAGTCTAGCAGCACTTCTGAAAACTACAGCCGGAGCTAGCGTCACCACCGTGACCCTCACCTATAATTACTGAGGTGCCTCCGGGAAGTGTGCTGTGGTACAAAATGTTCAGAGACGTTGGGGGAAGTTGAGGTCAGTGGTTTTGAACCTTTCATTAATTTTCTCCCAACAGACTAATGTTTTGAAAGGGCTTGTCTATCAGATTACATGCTGAAAATAATATGTTCCATATGTGTGACTGATGATTCAGGTTTTATCCAGATTGGTAATTTCAGGAAGATGCAAAACGTGCTCAAGTACACGTATCGTGCCTGCAACGCTCCCACGCTACACAGGTGAGTGACCCGAAGCTCACAGAAGCCGAAGCAGAATTTCCCAGATTCCCAGTTCAGAATCGGATCACCGTCTGCGCGGCTTCTGAGGACTCCCGTTGTTTTAGAGACGGTTGTACACAGACACATGTGTATTACTAAAGTCTCAGGATTTTAACCACAATTAAAAAACCAACCATGCTCTGAAATGATGATGCAGGGTCGCAACAAACAGAACTTATGCAGTGCACGCTCACTCAGGTGACCCCGGGGTCTCAGCTCAAGTGTAAAACAGACAAAACCCCAGCGGTCTACACTGCCCTCTGCCAATGCTCCTTTTGAGGTGGCTGTGGCCCCGCTCTGCAGAGCAGCTCTGTAGTCGGCCCACTAGGTCCACCCCACCCCAAGGTCGGGCTGTAGATGTGGCCGTATATCTCAGAGCAGAGGCGCAGGAGGACGTGATCCAAACCTCTCTGCCTCTGTGATCGTAAGCAAACAATCAAACAAACAGCAACAACAACCAAAAAACCCAAGGAATTTTGTTTAAAGACCGAAGTCACAAGAAAGAAAAGCAAAGAAAGCCTAGGCTCCCTCCGTGCCTTTTTTTTTTTGAGACAGGGCCTGGCTATGTAGCCCTGGCTGTTTGGATTTTGCTCTGTAGATCAGGCTGGCCTTGAACTCACAAAAAATCCATCTGCCTCTGCTTCCAGAGCACTGGGATTAAAGGTGTGTGTCACCAAAGCTGGCTTCTGGCTTGGACTTCCTTACCACAAGGCAGGAAACCGAGGCAGTTGCTCCCACCTAACCCAGCAGAATATTTCCAGGTCTGAACTCTCATCACTAAGTCCTTTGCACTAGCTATGGGGAAGGCAGGCATTTGGGAGTGGGCTGCAAACAATGCCATCTCCTTCCTTACACATGTGCCTCAGGCCCTGTGGGTACCATGCTGGTCCCTGGGTCTCCCGGACAAGGCTCTAGAGAAGCCTCACTCAGGGAAGCTCTGAGCAGCACTGCAAGCTTCAGTGCTCTCTTCCTATCAGCTTCTGAGGAGGCTATGCCTGGCCACCCTAGATGCTGTGTCACTCATGCCAGGCTCCGGGGCTTTCTCTCCTCCCCTGCCCTGGACCTTCTTGATACGCAAGCTGGTGCCGTTAACAGCATCTTTATTTCATTGTTCAGTTATAGCAGCACTGATAATTAGTGATGTATTGCTTGATTAAACTTTTAATATTAAAATTTTTATCTTGAGGGGCTGGAGAGATGGCTCAGCAGTTACGAGTACTGGTTGTTCTTCCAAAGGTCCTGGGTTCAATTCCCAGCACCACATGGCAACTCACAACTGTCTATTACTCCAGCTCCAGGGGATCTGACCCCCTCACACAGACATACATAAGAGCGCAACACCAATGCACATGAAATAAAAATGAATAGTAAATTATTAAAAAAAAGATTGATTTTGAGGGTTTTTGTTGTGAAAATTGCTGTTTCCTTTCTTTCTTTTTTATATATTTTTCAAGACAGGGTTTCTCTTGGCTTCCTAGATTCACTCTGTAGACCAGGCTGGCCTTGAACTCATGGAGATCTGTCTGCCTCTGCCTCCCCTAGTACTGGGATTACAGCTCAGGAAATCTGTCTTTTCAATTGGAAATTAAAATAAAAACAACCAGGAGACTTGCTTCGGCTGCAGCACGGGATGGTGGGGGAAACCCTTCAGTGTGCCGAGAGGAGCCTGTTCTTTCCTGTCACGTGTCCCAGTGACTCCTCAGGGAACAGGGAGGATCGGCTGTGGTGCCCGCTCCTGTGAACTCTGACCTGTCCCACCACTCTCCCTGCTTTCTTGCCACACTCACTGCATGCTCCGGACCAGCCAGGGTGCATCAGGCCTTGAGTGGAGCAGATGCAGGCAAGTGATCCAGGCCTGGTCCCAGGAAGGCCGCCACAGCGCACAGAAGAGGCGCTGTGTTATTCCCTTCACACTACCTCACTCTTTTTGCACCAGTTCTTACACTGAAGTAGCAGGCCTGCAAAGATGGAGGCTCACTCTTCACAAACAGGCGCTGGCAGAACGTAGAGTAGTGAGCGCGGGCATGGCTCAGACACTCGAATACCGATTCTGACAAGGAAAGGACTTGCAGAGACACACATACCTTGAAGTACACAGTTCCCTTCTCTTTGACAATGGCAGCCTGCTCCAGTTTTTCTTTGGTGTCCATCTCCCAGGATTCTTTGGCCTGTGTATAGATTTGTGGCATCAGTTAGATGAGCAGAAGAGGAAACACAGCAGCTGATGCCTGCAGAACAACCGGCAGCTATTTCTACACGATACCCCAAACTCACAGGACACCGGCAGGAAGAACCGTGTGCCAGGGCCGGGTGGTACCTGGTACTACATTAATAACACTGCTGTGGCTCCCAAGCTGTGGCCGGCCCACGCTGTCCAAGGGGACGACCATGCGGAGCACAGCCCGGAGTCCCAGTGCTGAGCTGAAGGACTCACTGTGAGAACGACAGCGAGGCCTCCCGAGGAAGGGAAGGGCCGACTGCCATCCTGTGGGCCTCCTCAGCACCATGCTGCTGTCTCTGCAGCAAGGCATTTCTTCCAGCTTGTCTCCCAGCTCTCAAAGGAGATTCTTACTGCCTTGCATGGAGCAGCTCTAAGATTCCAGCTCAGGCAGCTGTCTCCTCATTCACACAACCAGATGTGTTACGGCCTCTAACAATGTCAATTGGCAGGTGTGGACTTCGGGAAATTTTTCTTTTCTTTTTTTCCCAGACAGCACTGCATGTATCTCCGGCTAGTCTCTACTTTCCTTTGTTGCTGAGGATAACCTTGACTTTCCGATCCTCGTGAGTGATAGGATTATACAGCAAACACACTATGTAGCTGAGGTTGGTCCTGAACTCTGGACCTGCCTGCCTCCACTCCCAAGTGCTGGGATTACAGGTGTGCATCACTATGTCTAGCTCTGCTTAAGGGATTTTAAACAAAATATGACTTCGAAGCCAGAGCTGTGGGTGAAGGACCTCACCCCACCCCATCTGTGTTCCCTATGTCCTACTCTCGGCAGTAGCTCAGCCAACTCTAGGAACAAATCTGGGGCTATCCTCAAGACCGTCTTTATCCTGTATGCGCGAGGTCATGGCTTCAGCCCAGCAATGGAAAGAAATTCACACAAACAGCTGGATTTGCGATCACAAAAGCCAGCAGGGTAACTGGGTCTTTAGGGAAACGTCACAGGCGTGGCTGGCGAGACCGTGCGAGCGGGTAGCGGCACAGCCACTCCGCAGGGACAATCAGTGTGCACTCCTCCTGCTCAGAGACCTGGGGAGACGGCCACGTCTCTCCACACACGCGGCCTTCCATGCGCAAGTTAGCAGCCTTGATGCCTGCACAGCAGTCTCTCAGCCAGCGAGCTCCCTCCTCCCTCGGCCCTGGCTTAGTTACCTGAAAGCCTAACTAACAAGGCCCTTGGCGTTCTTCATACTGGTTTCAGCGCTGGAAAACATATTGCTGCTGCTAGACGTGTGCGCCTACATGAGCACAGGCCAGTGTTAGGCATCTCCTCTAACGCCCTCTTTTTAAAAAAGGACTGTTTTTGTTTTTTTTTTCCACAGAGTTTCTTTGTCTTTAAAAAAAATTCATACAATGTACTGACTGACTGTATTTCTTATTCGTATTGTCATGGGCATATCGGGAGGTCAAGGCCAGCTCTGGGCGGTTGGCTCTCTCGTTCTCCGTGGGTTCTAGAGTTCACTCTCAGGCTGCCAGGCTTTGCAGCACGTGCTCCTGCCTGCACAGCCATCCTGTCAACCTTCACCTCGCTCTTTGAGACAGGGTCTCCCACTGCACGTGGCGCGAGCTGACCGGCTTGGCCGGCTCCCGGTCCCAGGGACTCTCCTGCCTGCCCCAGCCTTGGGCTTGTCAGCACACAGCTCCATGTCGGGTGCTTCGGCACTGCCGTGGCTGGCTTCTGGCCTCGCTCTCCTTTCTACGGGCAGGGGATGGACCCAGGCAGACCGGAAGACCAGAGGCCTCCACATGAGTCTGCCCACTGGCTGCAGGTGCATTCCCGGAGCAAGGACAGCATAAGCCCAGGGTGGAGTGACAGCAAGACCGTTCCTCAAAAGGCATGGATGGGGGGAGAGGGTCTTCTGTAGAAAGGGGCAGGAAAGCTCAAGGCCCTGATAATCCCATGACAAAGACTCCTTTCTCAATGCCCACGGAAGAGATCAGTACTGAGCTTGGAGGCCTTCCATAGAGGTCACCCCAAATAAGCAACAGTACAAGAGCATGCGCGTCAGGGAACACGATGCTCATGGGGGAGAATCCTACTTTTTCTCCCAAATTTACAGGCTAACAAGGTGACAACTTCCTCCTGGAATCTCGTGTAATACGGACAGCCACATTTCTAGTGAAAAGTCAGTGAACAGAACATGGGGGACACGGTTTCACAGAAACACAAAGTAAGAAGGGCAGTCCCTGAGGGCCTCCAAGGAGAGAGGGATGTTGGTCACTTGGAGATACAGCTAGGGATGATGCCTACTTAGCTCGTGGGGATGCTGTGTCCGCCCAGTACGATACAGTTGGAAGTATGTCGAAGGGGGCACAACAGTGGAAGCCCCCGCAAACTCCCTTCTGTTCTTGGACAAGCCTGAAAAACAGCTCAGGTAGCAGGTTTGCTCCTTGTCCCCAGTTGCAGCCTGCTGGCCCTGAGGCAGAGATGCTGGGCTCGTGACCTGGAGCCACAGGGGAGGCCTCTTTGTGACTCCTGTGGAGCGTACACTCCGTTCAGCACTGGAAAGCTGCACCCCAACTCCCCTAAGGAGCTGCTTGGCAGTGCGTGGACTTTTCTGTCCTCGACCCAGGAATAAAAGAACAAAAAGAACAAGGCTGGGAACAAATAAGGGAACAAGTCTTGGATTCTACCCAAAAGTTAAAAAAAAAAAAAAAGGCTGAGACATAGTAACAAAATAAGGACACTAGCTCCTCTTATGTATCAACTGCGCTAGGTCAACTGCCCTGGCTCCAAGCAGAAGTGTAGACACAAGAGTCATGGGAAAGGAGAAGCACGCACAGAAATAAACACCATTTAGACAACCCACCTAACGCACAGTTACAGGAAGGGGGTAGAGGGGAGATCCACCATGATTTTGGAGACCTTCAGTTTTCTTACCTTCTCGAAGCTCTTCAGTGTAACTTCGTATGTAAGCTCAGCATTCGGTTTAATGTCAAATTCAGGCTTTCCTGCTTCTCCGAAGCCGTATCTGAAATGGAGAGTAAAACAACACTTAGAAGAACTGGTGTATTTCCAGGTACTTCCTTGGGTTTTCTGAGGTGTAGAACCAGCAAAGGTCAGAGACTAGAGAGCAGGGTGGGGCTGGCCAGGAGGAGACGCCACCGCGGTGGCTTCTCTTACCCGCTGCGTCTAGTTTTCCCTCAGCACAGGAACACAACTCCTTCGTTACTTGGGACAGTGTGATTATATGCTGCTCAGTACTGAAGTCTTTTTCTCTGCTTGATTTAGGCTTTTTGGCTACAAGGACTTTTTCCGTTTAGGCTTTCTGGGCAGAAAGCACAGAGGAGCCCACTGCTACCATCATTACGGTAGTGAAACCATGAAAGTTCTGGTGTGATCACTTGTAACATTTCTGTCATTTTAGTGTCACTTTTTGCTGTTCTTTGACAGTTTCATACTTGTATATAACAAATTTCTCATCTTACCCCAACTTCCTTGCCACCCCCTCCCTCCACGGGAACCCTGCCCCCCACCCCCCATCCTTTTTCTGGTGTGATACCCACTGACTTTGCTAAGGGCTCTGTTTTAAAACAAGCTTTTCACGTCTAAGAGCACCACCTCCATTCAGATAGGGGACAGCACATTTTCTTAAAGACTTTAAAAGGCACACTGAGAAACACAGGGCAACATGAAATCAAACCAGCAGCCCAGCCATTCCATATTTCAAACTTAGAGGCACACAAACTTACATCTCTGCAGTTATCCTGCTAAAGAGGCAGTAAATACCCTTAGCCAAAACTAAGTTAAAAAAAAAAAAAAAAGACAAGACAAACTAAAACCCAAGGCTATGTAAATTTCATTTTAAGGATCCAGGGTCTTGCCACATGGCCCAGGCTGGCCTTGGGCTTACAGCAATCCTCTTGCTACAGCCTCCTGGGCACTGGCTCCCTGAAGTATGCCACTACGCCCATCTTCTGTAATCTTGTTCTGGGGGACTATCTCAGATCCTATGCAAATTAAATGTTTGGGAAGCGTGCATCTGCCGCAACAGAATCCCCACAGAGCTCTGTCTGTCTGCCTCAGGGTTTCCCCGCATCTAGAGCAACGCGCTAAGCCAGGACTGGCGGTGCACGCCTTGTTCCCAGTGCTTCAGAGGCAGAGGCAGGCAGGTCTCTGTGAGTTCCAGGACAGCCAAAGCTATGCACAACTAGAGAGACCCTGTCTCAACAAACACAAAACAAAAACCCCCCAAAAGTGGGACAGCACTCAGGATAATAGCAAGAAGCTCACTGAACACTGTTCTTATCTGCTGTGAGCCAAACTGCTCCTGAAATATGGAATGGCATAAAAGGTTCAGTTAACCCAAGCTCTTTGGCCACGGCTTGAAAGATGTCAAAACTGGGTGAAGACTAATGATAGCCTATTCGGGTCTCCTCGGGGGCCACGGGACTGGGGAAAACACACAGCGCGTTCCGTGTGCTACCTCTCTTGTTTGCATCTTCCAGGGAAGCGCGCTCACTCCCTCACCTCCACTGTTACACAGGAAGAGGAGCAGCTGGAGCAGAGGCCCACAGACGCCTGGAAAGAACTGGGTGTGGCTGCCAGAACACCATGCAAAGGGCATCCTCAGCAAAGGAACAAAGGAAAGGGTGCAACTGTTAGTGGCCAAGTGATTCTAGGAAATGGCGCCTGGTTTTCCCTCCGGGCGGCGGGATGGGGGTGTCTTAGAGCTGCCTGAGGTACATAAGGGCCATCCCTCAGCTGTTGCAAAGGAGTCAGACAGGTGGGGACTGCGGGAGTCTGCTGCTGAGAGTGTGCTATGATTGGCAGTCTTTGCTAAGACGGGACGAATGCAATCGACGATCTGGCATCACTTTGGAACGGTGGAGCTAACTGGATTGATTTTAGCCCTTTTGTCAGGGGAACAGTCAGCCATGCCTGGAGACAATCTGGGTAGAGCTGCCGTTGGCTGGCAGGTAGGAGTCCAGAGTATCACTGCACATCCTCAGAGCCCAAGGACAACCCCCTCTGCCACAACCAAGAATTATGCATTCCAAAACGTCAATAGTGCTGGGAACATGAAAACCTGCCCAAGAGGAACTTACACCTGAGGCTCCCTGATGGGAGGTGGGGTGGGGACTGGGGGTATAGGGTGGGTGGAGGTGTGTGTGTTTGTAGAATGTGGGGACTGGTCTTCTGGAAGAGGTGCAGCCTTAGTGGGATTAGAGAAGATTAAAGAAGATTATTTGTACCATCTCTCCTGGTTAAAACAAAGTAACTCTCTCAGGACTGGACCCCAGGCGCACACCCAACTGCTCTGGAAATGGCTAGCCTATTCTGTGTTAAACAGAAAGGTGCCTTTACGCTGGCTCAGACTGGACAAAGCAGGACCCGACTGAAAAGGAAAACCTCAGAGATAGACGTCCAGAGTCAACAGCTGCCTCGGAGGGCACACAGGGGGCTGAGGGCCAGGCGGGCGGCCTTGCAGGGCACTCGAATGCTCTCACAGCTGCTCCTTACAGATGAAGAAGCTGAGGGCAGAGACATGTGCTTCCTGAGAGGCGCACAGGGCAGGGCACAGCCAGAACCAAGTTCAGACCTCATCGTCCTGAGAAAACTACTTAATGCTGTGACCCACAAAGCTCATGATGACCCTGACCACGCTCAACAGCCTGTTTTGTCTGGGATTGTTACCAAACAGGCGTAAAGGAAAAAGTTAAAATTATCTATACTGAACCTAAAACAGAAGAGAAATCAGTCATGATATTTAATTATTTATTTGTTTGAGCAAAATGAAAGTTTTAAGAAGTGAGAAAAACTTCTGAGAGCGGGAGGCCTCCAAGAGAGGACTCCCCTTGCCACAATATGTTAAAAACACCACCAAAAAAGATGCTGTCCCCAGTGAGCGGGGACACTGAAGGCTTTGTTATTGTCTCACGAAAATGTCCTGCCAAGAAGTCCTGGATGGCAAGGAAGTAGTAGGGGTGAGGCTGGGGGAGGGTTAGGAAGGCAAAATACAGAAGACACTGAGAGTACGAATCCCACCAGCATTTTATAGCAGCTCATACATGATGGGCTCTGAGCAGGACAAGTCACGTGCACACCGCGCACACCAAACCATACGGTGCACGTATGCACAGCATTACACAGGTGTATAAAGGCAGCATAGACAGCCCTGCATACACGGGACTGGGCAGAACTAAATGGACCAATCCAGTATGTCCTGGAGACACCCCCCCCGCACACACCCTGCTACCCCCTCCTAAAAAAAAAAGGGGGGGAAAAAAACCTCATTATATACTGCAGTTTATGAGAACTTGATGGCTTTTATGCTTGAAAAGATTTGAAAACTACCATTTGCTCCGGAGATTTGTATTTTCTTGTGGTCTAAGGGTAGAATGAAGGAAAGCTATTGCAAAGCAGTAAAGCTAACAAGGAGAGCTCACCTGGGCACGGTGCTTTGCTAAGTGTGGCCTGATTACTCCAACTTTGCAAGCCTGAGGGGGGTTAGGTGACTTGTCCAGGTGCCACCCCTGAGAGACCGCAGAGTTCAGCCCCAGACGACTAACATCTGCAAGAAACTAGCTGCGCTAATAAACAGAGGCAGTCTGATTCACTTTGCTGTGGAACTTGAGAAGTCTGCTCTCCAAGCTATCCAAGAGCCAGGTTAAGACTTACAGACCTGGGTCACGCGTTTCTGAATGCTCACACTTTACAGAGCGTAGCCTGCAAGAGCCAAACTGTGAGGACAGACCTGAGATAGACATGCCTCCTGAGTGTAGTTCTGGAACGTCAGATTAAACTGTTAGCGTAGAGGACTTTAATCCTACTACTCGGGAGCCAGAGGCAGGTAGATCTCTTTCCAGGCCAGCAAGGGCTGTATAATGACAACATGTCTCAAAAAAAAAAAAAAAAAAGACTAGAGACTGTAGGTTATGAAGAATCTACTCTGTAAGTAAGGGGAAGCTCTTTCAATAAAAAAAAAGAAACAGGTTCATTACAGCGTGAACTACAGTACAGAGCACACACAAAGGTCAGGACAAAAGGACCAGATTCCCCACTGGTGAGGGCCGCCCCAACAGTCTCAGAACTCGGAATGGTAACGGGGCAGTCTGTGCGGCCCGCGGGGCCACTTGGGCAAGCAGATGCGCTTGCACGCAGGCGGCACCCCTGGGTTCTCTCAGGGGTCCATTTCTCAAGCAAGAAGAGCTGAATTTATGGTATAATTTTAGATCTAAAAATAATAGGAAACATGTTTTCACAAGAGACTGTCAGTGCCGGATAGTTCTAAGCTTGGAAGTGCTAATGGCTATCCTTATGACGGGAAAAATTTAGGCAAAAATGAGTCATCTCCGCCGCCTTTAGATCCAGGAAGAACAAGCTGGTTTTTTCCTCCTTCAGGGACTCCATATAAGAATGTGGCACAGAGCCAAGTGCTAGTAAATCATGCATTACTTCACCTCCCAACACCCCCTGCTGAATTCAGGGGGAGAGGAGAGGAGCAGGGAGCCATAGGAGCCAACCGATCGTTGCTGATGTGGCACTGTGGCGGTCCAACAAATTGAAAACAAGGCTTGATTGTTAGTCCTATTCTTAAACAGACTTCAGCTGAGCCAGCTCCCTCACAAACTTCTACAGAGCTGTGAGGCCCCAGAGGGCCAGACTAGCCACCATCTGACTCAATGAAACGGCTTCACTGTGACAACAAAATGCTGAGTGAGAGAGCAGGCAGGCCCTGGCTCTTCGGATAGCTCCACGGTGTACTGAAACGGGTGCTTCTTACCGAGGTCCGAGGTATAAGATACACTGCTCTCCCCTCCGCATTTTCTCCAGGGCTCTGTCAATTCCGATGGGAATATTGTGGTCTTCTCCTTCACCAACCACGAAGACCACGTCCCGGCAGTCGAACCTCCTTCCAGCACAGCAGCCTTCCAGGTGGACTGCGGGGAGGAGACATGGCAGTCACGAGCCGCACCTCGGCCCTGTCTGTCAAGTGAACGCCAACTGTGCAGTACACCACTTCCCCTCTCGAGGACAAGACACACGCAGTGCCTTCTGGGAGCTCTGCCCACCAGTCGCAAAGTTTAACAAGAGTATCTTCTGTTTCAGGTTAGATGTATACTCACTAATTTTCTTACCTGTGACCCAGGGTCAAGATACACTGGCTTATTTAACCATACCATTGTGAGAATGCCACATAGCTAGTACTGAATGTACACAAGGCCTAACCATCTGTAACAGTAACTTGGTTTCAGATGCTTGGGCAGAAATAAATAAACAAAAAATAAAGCCTAGGACTGAATGTTATTTCTCCAATAATACAAACATGTTAGACGGAGGTGTCTCTGTCTGTTGTAGCTCAGGTGGGCCTGAAACTCTTCTCTGTCCCTGCGTTCCAGGTGCTTTATTATTATATTATTATAGTCATGTACCACATTTTGCTCCAACTCTTTTTTTTTTTAAGTACATCAGTCTTTTTTTTTTAAGAGTTATGTATGTATGTATGTATGTATGTATGTATGTATGTATGTATGTATGTATGTATACAGTGTTCTGCCTGTATGTACACCTACAGGTCAGAAGAGGGCACCAGATCTCCTTATAGATGGCCATGAGCCACCATGTGGTTGCTGGGAATTGAACTCAGAGACGTTTGGAAGAGCAAAGAGTGCTCTTAACCTCTGAGCCATCTCTCCAGCCCTGCACCAACTCTTTTGTATGGTAGTGTAGACTGAATCCAGGGACCTGTGCATATAGCACTTAAGCTCTGAGTTACACCCCAGCCCAAACTATTTTATTTAGACACGGTTTCTCTGTGCAGCCTTAGCTGTCCTGGATTCACTTTGTAGACTAGGTTGGCCTTGAACTCACAGAGATCCATCTGCCTCTGCCTCACAGAATGCTGGGATTGTAGGTGTGCTCCACTGAGCCTGGTTCCCAACTATTTCTTTTTCTTTTCTTTTTTTTTTCTTGTAGTATTTTATTCATTTCTCTTATGTCTGAGTGCTCTATCTGCATGTATGCATGCACTCCATAAGAGGGTATCAGATTCCAGAACAGATGATTGTGAGCCACCTTGAGGTTGCTGGGAATTGAACTCAGGACCTCTGGAGGAGCATCCTCGGAGCTACCTCTCCAGCTACTCCCAAATACTTTTAAAGCTACATAAGACTTTCAATTAGGTCTTTTATTCACTGGCTTGTGAGACAGTACAACAGCCACGATGATCTCTTGATAAGAAAAGTATTTAAATATAACTTCCTAAGGTATTGCCTGAGAAGGCTGGAGAACCTATTTCAGTCATCTGCTTTAGTCTTGAGCAGCCACCCTCTCTTACACACTAATTTCATGTCCTACAACAACTACCATCTTCCAAACACAATTCCAACTTACTCCACTTTTATCATCTGACCTCAACAATCTCTTAAAAGCTCTAAAACACGAGGATTCTGTCTGGCCTGTAAACTTGCTTCAGAGCTCGTTCCTGGTTAATCATTTGATCAGCTCACCTTCCGCCTAGAAGCGAGACAGACTCTGGAAGGTAAACAGCAATACGCTATAGACGTCAGGGCGTCCCAGTCACCACAGTCACGACGGAAAGCTTTAGGGCAGATGCCTGCCTGGTTGCGCCTACTGCTGCTAACCCAAACCTTCAGTTCCTTCAAAACAAAGGCTCCAGCTAGCCTAGCTCTCAGGACATGGCATACTGCCTCTCGTCCTATAGCCCATACTTATTGACACGCGATGACTTCTGTACTGTGTACTCAATTTTGGAAGATTCTAGATAAAATAGCCAAGATGTAGAAAACTCTCACTCTCCAGTGCATGTGGAACAGGAAACACAAAACAAACAACAACAACAACAACAACAAATCCAACCAGGTTGAGTATAGTGCGAGGCAGTAGTAAATACTGCCATCAGACCCTTTTATTATAAAGATCCAAAGGGCGATGTTCTTAGGAGGTTAGGCATCTCATCTGAGCCTGACTCAGGCCTGTAAGTCCAGCTACTCAAGGGGCTAAGGCAGAAGCCTCACACCTTCACAGCCTATCTCACATGAAAAGTAAAAATAGGAATAGGGTAGGGTAGCTTGTGGCAGAGGACCTGCCTAGCATGTATAGAGCTTGGGACTCAGTCCCCAGAAGCACCATAAATAACTACGCATGTAAGAGCCAACCAAACAAAACTGTCAGTTTATGCAACTACTGTTTTAAAATTTGTCCAAGAAATTGCACGTAGACTAATGGATGGTACTCCGCATGAGAGGCCTGGGGAGCAAAGGAGGTCTCACCCAGGCACCGAGGAACCGCCGATATCGAGATTCATCGTCCTCGAAGCTCACAACCTAACAGGGAGAGGGAATTCTGAGGTTTTCTGTGAGATCATCACCTTCCTCCCTAAAGCGGAGTGCCTCTAGCGGGAGGAAATCATCAGTGCATTTGTTGTGGCTTTTGGTTGATCAAGTCTGAATGTGTTTCCAAAACAGGAAATCCAGAGACTTCTGCAGAGGATCCCTGATGACATGTCAGTTTCCTACACTGACCTGCGGTGGGTGCTCTCTCCCCTCTACGTGCACACTCACACACATAATAAATAATAAAAACGTAGCCAGACACCTCAAGTGACGCCCCCACAGTCTGTAAATAATTCCAGAAGTTCTCCCTGGGCTACCCTATCACTGTGTGCAGGGAATGAATATAGGAAGAAAACAAAATTAAGTCAAAGTGTGACAAAGGCAGAGTTAGGAAAGCAAACCCTGAGGCTGAAGAGACGGCTCAGCGGTTAAGAGTACTTGCTGCTCTTGCCAAGGGCCCGGGGTTCATTCACTGCACCTAGGCGGAAGCGCCTAGCGTCTGTGCCTCCAGTTCCGGGGAGCCACTGCCCTCTTTTGGCCACCATGGACACCGCATGCATTCATTCAGGCAAACACACACACAAAATAACTCTAGAAAGAACAAAGAAAGATTTCACTCATTTGTGCACTTGCGGGCTTGAGTATATGCTCTCCAGGTGCCCACAGAGGCCAACAGGGCGTGCGGTCCTGGGACCTCAAGCTACAGTCCCAAGTTGTCCCCCCAAGCCTGGAAGAGTGGCAGCTGGCCCAAGGTAGCTCAGCAGGTGCAGGGGCCTGTCTCCACTTGGAGACCAGGCTCAACCTGGGTCTCGGACGGGGAAGAAGAGCCCCAGTGCCCACAGTTGCCCTCTCACCTCTGCGTGCACACTTACATACACAATAAGTAAATGAAAACGTAACTAAAAATCTTAAGCGACATTCCCACACTACACGTCCCCCCCCACGTCTGCGCGCTGCCACCTGACGTGTGAAATCTGGAATGAAGAGTCAGAGCAGGAGCACAGCCACGATCCTCTCCAGCTATGGGGAGAACGGTCACACCGCTGGCTGGCTTCTGAACACTGGTGTGGCAGGCCTGCAGGTTGCTGACGGGAACTCAGGCGCCGGGGCCCGGGGAAGGCTGCTGACGCACAGGGAGGCCTTGCTGTGAGACCTGTGGGTGCTGTGACTTCGTCCACAGCACAAACCGTCACCTGATAAGTGTTTAACACCAGCCGCCCTGACTCGGCCTCTGGGGTGCAGGAGGTCTGTTGCTAGTCTCATCCAGCATGATTTACAGGAAGTAAGCCGTCTATGACGTGCTCCAAGTGAGCACAAGTGCACACAGGGTGCTTCTACTCAGGGCTTTTTGGTGAAGAGAAATAAACAAGATAAAAGCGGAGATATTTTCTCTAGACTTGAAGTCCGTGTAACCTGGAGGGGGGTGCTCCAACAAGCCCCACAAAGTCAAACCAAACCAAATTACCCAAGTTTAGCTGTGAAATCCAGAGTGTAACCACATCAAGTGAGGCCGGTCCCTGCAAAGCATCATTTAGGCTGGAGCTCTGACTTATTGTTCTCTTACTGCCCTGCAGCAGTTTTGTTTTGAAGAGCACAGAACACCCTGTTCTGAATGTGGCTGGCACATGAACTCAATGTGCTGACAGCAATTTGTTCTCCGATTAAAATGGGGGGAGGGGGAGGAAAGAGTGCACAGCAGTAACAAAAACTGGAATGCAAGAACCCCAAAACTGTACAGCTTGTATTTCAGGAAGCAAAACCAAGGAAGAGGCTGCATAACTTTTTAAAAAAAAGTGCTGTAAACGCCACAGCCTAAGACGTTAGCTGGGTGAGTGTCTGCTTTCCCTTTTCTAATTATAGCAGCTGCTGTCTGATAGCTTTGCACTCATTCCCAAAACAATGACTGGGTCATGGGGATCTGAATGGGAATGTTTAATGGCATTACTACTAGAAAAGACTGGTCATCTGGCTAGAGAAAACCAGGTTACGACGGGTCACTCACACTCTGCTGCCTAATTCATGTGGAAAGAGCTTCTCTGGGTCCCTTGCCTGACAGTGCAGGGTTTCTGAGAGAGTGGATGGCCTCTTGTCCCCAAGAAGGCAAGCAGAACTGGGCTAACAGCATGGAGGCACGTTAGCCACTGATCACAGGACACTGGCCAGACATCCCCCACATCACCTCCCTTCCTGCTCCGAATCAGTCTGCTGTCTCCGGGGACGACACCACTGTGAGGCAGACCCTAGCACAGGACTGGCATGGAACTTGGCTACTGGGATGGCAAACTTTTATACTCTTAACACTCGTCGCTTCCTGACAGCGTGGGACTTGAGCCAGACCTCCCTATGAACCAGTCCCATTCTGACACCTCACAGCTCTGGCTATGGGGCATTTGCTTTCTCCATCTGCCGAGGGGTGGCACTGGCTAGACTGGCACTGCTAGGATAAGTTACACTCAAAAGCCAAGGGTAGTGGCCTTTGGGAAGCAGCAGCAAGAGGATTGTTGTAGGTTTGAGACCAGCAGGGCTACTCAGGGAGATGGAGGTTGAGAGCAGCCTAGTGAGACCTGCTCTCAAGCAAACAAACA